TTAACTATTTATTATTTATTAATTGATATGAATATTTAAAATGGGAGAGAACAGATATAGATTGGGAGAGAGATTTGAATTGATTAGGGAGTGGGATACCGAATGGGTTAGAGGAGATATCTTAGGATAGAGATTGTAGGAATATGTTTAGGTAGTTGGTAGGGGTGAGCATTATTCGGTTAAAACCGAATTACCAAACCGAAAATTTCGGTTTCGGTTTTTTTGGTTTTTAGGTAATTCGGTTTTTGGGTAATTTGGTTTTTGGTTTCGGTTTTCAAATTTAGAAATTTGGTTAACCAAAAAAATCGAATTAACTATAATTTATTATATAATATATAATATATAATATGTTATATATTTATATATTAATATATTATGTATAATGTATTACAATGAAATTAAATTTAATAATATATATTATAATAATATATATATATTATAGGTTATAATATATAGTATTATGTATATATTAATTAAATTTGGCTTTAACCGAAAATTTTGGTTTTATTGTAATTCGGTTTTCTATTTGGTTTTCATTTTTTAATTTCGATTTAGTCGGTTCAGTTTTTAACTGAATAAACCGAATGCTCACCCCTAGTAGTTGAGTTGAGAATAGAGAGGGAGAATCTAGTGACTTGGCTTATTGGGAGTGGTGGAAAGGGGAGGGGAGGGAGAGTCAAGGAGAATGAAGGGCAAGAGTAATGGAGCAAGGAGAGGCATAGTGACGTGGACCTAGGGGTGCAAATGGATCGAATCATGATCCGATCTGATCTGAGATTTGATCATATTGGGTAGAATTCGAGTCCCATCAAATTCGATCGGATCTTCAGATCATATTCGACATGAAAAATGTCGGATAAGATTCGAATATACCCTTACTCGAATCCGATCCGATCCATTTGCATCCCTACATGGATTGTCTTGCTATATGAATATAGATATAGATATAGATGTTTTTGGTGCATGTTATAAAAATTAAATTTGATTTTATAATGTCAACTTATATCCTTACCCTTTTACTTTCACATGCATATCAAATGCCTCTGTATGTTAAAAATTTTAAGAGAAGTTCTAACTCGAAAAGTGAAAACTACCCAAGCCCAACCTGAGGTTGACTTGAACCCAATCCAATGTTTTAGGGTTACATTGGGTTGGGTTAGGATTGACCTCAACCCAACCTAACTCAGCCCAATCCGACATAGCAGCAATTTCCCAAGTATACTTTTATTTTGAATTTCTGATGTTTTGGAACTACTAATAAATTTACACGTGCTTTGCACGTGGCTATTTTAGATGATGAAGATAGTAATATACATCCAAGTTATTTTATATTTTGTATATATTTCTATGTATATAAAATAACTCTATATTAAAGATGTCTCAAATGTTTTCTACAAATATTATGCATTTTTTGTTTTTGTCTTTCTTTAATTTTTATTATTTAATTATGACATCACGGCTTGACCCATTTGACCCAAATGGTTGAAATGCTTATCCACCACCTAGAAAGAAGGACAATTTCATTTTTTTTGTTCAACTTTGAAAAAAATGAGATTTATTGTTAAAAGTATTGATATAGATCTAATAACTGAATTTATATTAGTGAGAAAATATCTTAAATATATCATTTAATGAGATAGAATAGGCGTTGGCCCCTCAAATATAGGACTTAATCAAAGGGACTTGAATGAGGTGAAAAATAATAGTTCAAAATACATTTTTTATTTAATATGATGAATATACAATATTAGAGATGCGCCAAAACGATTTTTTGCAAAATTTATGTATTTTTTTCAGTTTTATTATTTATTTAATTTTTATTGTTTAATTATGACATCAAATATTGGCACATTTGAATTAAAGGTTGAACGATTGATCTGGACCAAATAGGAAATCAATTTCATTTTTTGGTTGGTTTTAAAATTTGTGTTTCATTTCCATTATCAGTATAAACAATTCTTGTTTATGATATTTATTTTTGTTTATTATTATTAATATAAAATATCAAAGAAATGGCCCACATGGATTCACCCAATTGACCCTAGGTGGTCTAATTGGCTTAGCCACCACTTGGATGGAAGAACGGTTTCACTTTCTTTTTTTCTTTATGGTTAATTTTAGAAAATGATAAATTGTTGAAACCTACCTTGAAGTTTCTGACCGTTGTTGAAATCTCCTTGAAGTTTGGTAATTGCAATCGCTTCCCTTAAACTTTCTAATACAAATGCAAGTAGACCCTTTCTCTTAGAATCCTCTAATAAGAGGCACACAAAATGTCCAAAATACCCATGTAGTTTCCATTGAGGCTAGTTTTTGCATAGCATAATGCAAACTTTATAAAATAAATCAAATTCGAAAAAGAGGTTGGAAGGGTTTGGGGTAGTGATTGATATGAAGGGAAAATTTGGAAAATAAACATTTTAGTCAAAGTAACAAAATGGTTAGTAATGGTTAGTCAAAGGAGGTGATTGCAATTACCAAATTTTAGGGGAAGTTTCAGCAATGGTTAGTAACTTTAAGGGGGTTTTAGCAATTTATCCTTTAAAAAACATGGGATATTACATTATTAGCCCTCGGAATTAAAGAGGAACTAAATTAAAAAATAGGGGTAGTTTAGTAAAAAAGAAAGTTCAACACCCTCTTTGAGTTTAATAGTATATATATGGTCATTTACTAAAACACCCCCTATATTTTACAATCAATTTACTTAATCGACCTTCCATTAGATGAAAGTGGAAAATGACGTTTTTAACCCTAAAATTCATTCAAATAAATTTAATGAAAAGAAACTAAAAGCAAAAATGCCATTTTTGCCCCTAGTAAAACATGGACAACCATTCTATTCTTCTCTATCTGATCAATTTTGTTTTCTATGCAAAAGTGTTAGGGGTACTTTTGGAATAAACAACCATGGATCCATATCCTTGAACATTTTCCTTTCAATTTAGGGGTATTTTTGGAATAAATAACCATGGGTGAACATTTTCTACTTAGTTTAGGTGATTATGTTACTATATTCAAATGGCAAAACAAATATTTCTGTTGGAAACTATAAGGGATGTTTTTATAAAATGCAAACTAAAGGGTAGGTTTAAGTAAATCTGTGAAACTATAAGGGGTGTTATAGTAAATGACCCTATAAAATAAAAGATAAATATACACAAAAAATTTCAACTTCTTGTAGATTGCACATGGGAATCTTAAATTACAATTATTATTATTATTATTATTATTACTATATTTTAAACATGAGTTTATTTGAAAAGTTGGATCATTGACCCACCATCTAGATAGGAAAATAGCTTTKCTTTTAAAYCAGTTTTAAATTATRTATTTTATCTACATTATATAAATATTTTTTACTTATTACACTAAATTTTTGTTTGATATAATTAATATATAACATTAAAGATTTATACATTTTTTATATTTTTTGTATTCCTTTGATTATTTGTACTTTTTTTTTTACTTTTTAAAGATTTATTATTTAACTATGACATCATTAGTTAATTCATTTGACCCAAACCAATAATCCACCACTCAAAAAGGACAATAGTTTTTTTTTTCAAAAAAAGAAAGGAAAATATGTTGATTTTTAGGTTGACTTTAAATTTTGTATTACATTTATATCATTGATAAAATTAATTTTTATGTATAATATTTATTTTTGTTCAATATAATGAATGTATAATATTATAGATGCACCCGATATTTTATTTTTTGCAAATATATAACATTAAATATGTGCCCAAATTTTTATTTAGTTTTTTTTTTATTTTTGTGATTATTTTTATTTTCTATTTTTAGAAATTTTATTTTTTGACCATGGCATCATTTCATTTATAGGTTGATTTTAGATTTGACATTCCATTTGCATCATTAATAAGAATACTTCTTATATTTCACACTTATTTATGTTTAATATAATGGATATATAATATTAGAGATATACTTAATTTTTTGTTTTTTTATTTTTTATATTTTACGTATTTTAATTTTTTATTATTAAAGTATGACATTGTTGATTAACCCATTTAACCCCAAAGTTGAATTGCTTACCCACCACTAAGAGAGAAAGGAAATGTTTTTGTTTTCAAATAATTTTCAAAATATTTATTTTTATAGTAATAAAGTTGATGTTGCGGATTTAATAAGTGGAATTTAATGATAAAAAAATATATGTTGAATATAGGATTTAATGAGAAAATATAAACTAGATATGAGATTTATAGGAAAATAGTTTTATTCCAAATTGGTTTTAAATTTTATATTCCATTTTTATCATTAATAAAAATAATTATTATTTTCCATACTTATTGTTTAATATGTAAAATATATGATGTTAAAAGTGTCCCAAAAGTTTATTTAATTTCTATTTTTTGCATTTTATCTATTTTTGAATTTTATATTATTTAATTGTGGCAACATGTGTTGGGCCATTTTGACCCAAAATGGTTTAATTTCTTACCACCACCTAGATGAAAATTTCATTTTTTCCATGTAAGTTTTAAAAGTACAAGTTTTTAACTTTTTATGTTATTGGAATTATTAATTTATTATGTATGGATTTAATTTGTAGAATTTAGTGATGATAATAAATAAAGATGCTTTAAATATATGATTCAATGAAGATGAATGGGAGTTATACCTTAAATGTGTAATTTATGAGAGGAAATTGAATGCATTGAATAATAGCATTTAAGCTGCATTTTTTACATTCACAATAGAGGGGATTATATATTCATATTTCATAAAAGAGGGGTATTTTAGTCAAAAAAAATTCCATAAATTTAGAGGCTATTCATACTTTTTATAGTAGTAAGTATAGATTTAATAGTCCGCTACTTAATCTATGTTGTGCACTTGTGTGATTGAAAATTAAAAAAAAAAAAAAAAATCTAATCTAAATGGTATACTCGTCTGAAATAAAATGACTGATACTTTGAGGAAAAACTTTGCAATTTTAATTGCTTATTCTGAAAGCTATATCACAGAAGAAATGAACCAATCGAACCAGAACAATTACATCTCTTATCTACGGATTTAATTATTCAAGGTCATTGTGCTGGAATAACAAGATATGTTCATGATACTTGGAGAAACAAAAATGCTTGTTTCATATACGGTAAAATGCTAACCAACAGAATCAAGCCGTTGAAAATGAAGTGGAGTCATCAACAGCCGTTCCAATGTGCTGAATGACAAAGCCATAAATCTTTCGCTTTAAACGTTCAATTTTTTCCATTATCAACTCCTCTCGTTTTTCCCCCACCCGATCTAACCAGTCATTGACTCGTTTCAGCTGTGAAAGAACTGCAGCAAGTGGGCCATTCTCTGGATGGAATACTCCCTTGCCATCATTTGAGCAGACCCTAAACACCCTGAAACCTGCATCCAAGGACTCTTCAACAAACTGCAAAAACCACAATTGCATCTCTGACTGCAAATTTTTTGTTAACTCCACCGTCTCCTTGACTCCAGAAGCCCTTGACCATGATCCAGTAACAGAATCAGAGGATAATGACTGCACTTTAACATGGTTTTTCCCTGGTGTACTAAGTGATTGCCGCTTGGATAGACTCATCCTTGAAGGTGATGGAGGTCGTACATCAAGAGCACAATTGGTAAGATTTTCCATGTTCTTGACTTTAGTGCTAGTTATTAGAGAGACAATTTCAAGATCAGTAGCCAAAGCTGCTGCAACCCACAAAGAAATGGATTTTGAACGCTCTGTTGAAGTGGCATTATCAGTTCTATCAGAAGGGCGACTATTTGCAACCGATTCGACAACTGCTTTTGATTTGAGCACATCTTCATAAACTGATAGGAACCGATCAATGGTGGGTAATGGATTTTCAGCCTTAGACGAAGAACATACATCTGAAAACATGCTGACATAAAAGCAACAGGGAAGAATTAGTCACCAATTCCAAATTATTAACTTTAGTTATTCTAATTCTATTTGGACATGAGTGGCTCCTAATAACAACATGCAACCTGTATAAAAGAACAAATTTGAGGGATGTACATACGCATTAAGCAATCATTCCCTATGTACTACAATAAAGCAGGACATTCTAATATTACAGCAAGGCTCCCACCATGACTGTAGTGCATTCAAAAGGGTAGCCACCTGGCTAGCATTCCTCCGAATATGCTTTAACAAGTATAGGTAAGCGAGTGACAAAGTAAAAAATAACCTGGGAGTATTGCACAAGAACAGACTATATCTCATAACTTCGCATAGATAATGTAAATCGTCCTTTTCTTCCTTAGTGATTGAAATGGCACTATTGGATAAACCTAGAACCCCCCTACTTCACAGCCAGGAAAAAGACAAACCACTTGGATATTTACCTTAAATTCCTTATAATAGATTCAGTAACACTAGCCTCTTCTAAGGCCTCCGCAGCAGCTATAGAAGCCATAGCTCTCCTATGTAAAGCCTCCTGCACATGGTAAAAGGTCCATCTATGATTAGTCCAAGAACTAATTTGAAAATGCGAGGAATCAAACAAAAAAGAAGAAGAATTGATTTATCTAAGAAATAAATCTTGGCCAAACTTGACTGAGTTTGAAAATCTTCCAAATTGAAAAGGATTTTTTTTTTCATTTTTTATCCTTCTTGAACCAACTCAACCAAACAGGAAATTCGTCAATTTTATTCATACCTTTCCAAGCCTTGCAAGGTTAGCAGAGACAGCATCCAATGGAATGCTTCCATCAGTCCATTTCCGATCATGAACAGTTATTCTTGGAGTCATGCAGTTATGCTTCTGAGACAGCAGAGAATCTTCGGTTTTACAATTAGACTTTGGCTTCTCATTAGTTGAAGTATCCCCATGATCAGGTGGTCCACTACTGGCATCACTCAGTCTATTTGCAATAGCAACCTGGAAAATTATGACAAAATCCTCAAAATTTGTGATCTCATAAGACCAAAATATATAGCCGAATGCCAACTACAGATAAGGTGGAAATAGCTGAAGCGGTAGTTCTTAAATTTGAATTATTACAGATAAGGTCAGTAGAAGTGGTGCAGCTGCTTTGCACATATTCCATTACTTTATTGCTTCATTTTACTTGTTTCTATTGTTGGGCTACGTAGGGATAGATCTACCATCTGATGGTACTTATCTTTTCAGAAATAGAAATAGCTGCAGAAGTAATTCAACAATGTCTATATTTGAATTCTTATAGAAGAGGCAAAGATGCATAATTGATTTCAATCTATTTTGCCCACATTCGTTGAGCCAAGCAAAAAAAATGTCATATATATGTACATATTTGCGTAATTCAGTGGTTGCTTTTAAGGTCATTCCTGTTCTATACCAAAAAAAAAAAAAAAAAACAGTTCTATACCAGAGATATGCATAATTGATTTCAATCAGTCCATATACTTTGGTCTGAAAGTCTTCTAATCAATGACAGTTTCGTGGTCTTACAAATGAATTAGACCTTGCTCGTTTGCTTTATTATCTGGCCTGAGCCTACTTGGAAAAGCAGCACTAATTAATTTTGACATTTGTTAGAAGCTTTGCATGTGTGGAGACATTTAACCGTAATGTAGATTCGGGTTGGCTAACTAGTACCATAAAGTTCAGAAAATGGAAGTGACTTACTTCGATTATGGAACAAACTGTGGAACCAAAAACTAAGCAAGCACCAAAGCAATAAGAGAAAGACAATCAACAGTACTAAGCACTAAACAAGAGAAAGCGAAAAGCTGAAATTCAATGCTTATATCAAACAACTTTCGAAATGGCTATTATATCACAACTAATGAACAAACATCAATTGAACAGAAACTTGCAAGGACAAAGCATCATAACGACGGCAAGAGGTAAAGAAGAATGAAATACCTGTGCACGCAGAATAGCTTGCGGATCAGTTTTCTGTTTTGAGACCACCTTGTCTTTCTGATCCTCCGTGGATGCAACATCTGATAATTCTGTCTCTGTCCAGTTTTTCCTCGTTGCCTTGGTAGACCCCACTAGAGCATCCGAAACCTTCGAAATCCCTGCAACAATGGTAGCCATCTTCTTTTTACTAGCGGAATCCGCTGCAGCAGCAATGACAGGAGAGACTTTCAATCCACCGGAAAGCCTTCTCCCTGGAGAAAGAGAAGCCCTTCGCGCACTTGGAGAAGCCTGCCTCCGTGCAGTAGGCGATGGTTGCCGGTATCTTGAGGGCACAATAATTGCAGGTTCCCTTGACGTCTTCCAATTCTCATCCCTAGCCACAACCAAGCTTGGAACTACGCATTTGGAAGGCACTGGCGATGCCGACCTCGAATTAGCCTTGCCTGCAGGCGAGGGCTCCCTTTCAGTGCCGGGTCCATTCTTCTTCCCGGCCGATACAGATCGATTATGCTTTGCCGAAGATGGCGATGAGAAGCGACGAGGCTTCTGTGGAGGCTTCAGCTCGTCTGAATTCCTAGCATTTCCGGTGGTAACAGAAGGAACATTATCTCGTGATGCTAGAACCGGTCTGTCCTGATTCTTATCGGCTAGGTTCTTCGTTTTCGGCTTGGTATCACCAGAGGGTTTCTTGTTAGATAAGTAGGCGGCAATGGGGTCAATGGAACGGTCGGAATCGGAAACGGGCTGAATGACGAAACCACGATCGGAACCCGAGAAGCGAGCGATAAGTGGTTCAGGGGTTCCAACGAAGGGATGGCGACCGGCGATGGGGCGGATGCCGGAAACACGGGGAACGGGAGGGGAGTCGAAGTCGAGGCGGTCAACATAGGCGAACTGGCCAAGCTGGAGAAGGTTGGTTAGGATGAGATCGGTGTCACGGTCAGAGAGGGAGACGTAGGTGGAGTTGGCGGAGTCGGAAAGCTGAACGTAGAAGCCGTGATTGGGCCAGAGGTCGGAACCGGCGAGTGCAGGGACGATGCCAATAACCTGGAGGAGGACGGAGCGGTGCTCGCCGACGACCTTGGTGTCAGAATTCATGGATTGCATGAGTTTTAGGAGGATGCCAGGTGTGAGGGACGCCATCATTGATCCAATATCCGTGTCGAGTGTCGAGAAAACTCCTCTCTCTCTCTCTCCGGTCTCAGCCCTCTTCGCTGCAAAATTTGCAAAGGGACAACAGGCACAGACAGGGTCAGGGTATACTCCCAATCTCCCATATTCATATCTCCTGATGTTATTACGTGGGCCTGGCAGTCGCAGCCGGTGACCAGTAAAGAAAAGTTGCCGTTACAATTTTCAAATTTCAAATGCCCGCTTTCTTTTCTAACCTCTCTAATCTCTTCCATTCCCATTTTGAATTCCCCATTTTCCGTACGGACGGAAATTGGATTGCCATTAGGACTCGGAATCGGAAGGAATCACGGGCTCATGGTCATGCTCACGGCGGCACCCATCCAGCCCAAGCCCATGGACAATGGGATCTCTATTCTAGTATTCTCTCCCGGTCACCAGTCGCCCGTCCCAAATCAGCAAACAAATAAATAAAATAAAAGGATAAATTACAAAGACCCCTGTACTGGTATGTGACAAAGACCCCCTGTATTATGACCGTGAGACAAAGAATCCCTTTCATTAGCTTTTCGTTGAAATCCGCCGTTATAATATTTTTTAATCCCTATACTTGTAATAACTATTCAGACAATCGGGAGAAAACACTCTTTCCCTTCTATCTCAGATTCCTTCACATTTCTCTCTCTCTCCGATCTCTCTTCTTCCCCTTTCCCATTCTCTCCTCCCCTTTCTTCTTCCCACTTTCCTCTGTTATGTCTGTTATGTCCAAACTGTTCAAATATCAGGGTTTCGAGGAGGTACAGAGAGAATATGAGATTCCCTGGACATCAGAGTTTGGGATTGGAAAAGGTGGCACCTATAGTGACGATGGAAACACTGGGTTCATCTCAATCTGACATGCAAGATGTGTTCTTTGCCGGCAATGGTCCATCGAAGACATCTCGCATCGTCGCATTCCATTCCACAACCCAATGGAAAGCTCACTTTGGCTCCTGCAAAAATTCCACTAAGCTGGTAATTAAATTACCTAGACAAAAAATAGTAAAACACGGTTCTCTCCCAGTTATTTATTTATGTATATGAATTAAGCCTGACAATTAGGGATCATCCCATGTTTTCTTTTTCCTCCCAATCGAAGATGGTGATCTATTTCACGGTGTTGTGGTGCGGGCCTTGTCGATCCATGGAGCCAGCACTCGACAAGTTTGCTGCCAAATACAAAGACGACATAGAGTTTGTCAAGATCGATGTCGATGAATTAATGGTTCTCTCACTCTTTCCCCTCTCCATTTCTACTTTACTGAATGTTTCGGTGCTGCATCTGAGCCTTGAATGAATGGATGATTTGATTATGGGGTTTTTCTTGATTGTTTTGAATTCTGATCATCAGGAGGTGTGGGATGAACATTGTTTTCGAGTTGTTTATGGACCATTAGGGTTTCTTCTCATTTCCCTTTCTGTTCTATTTTGTCTTTGTTTTTTGAGATTCGATGAGTGACAAACAGATTTCTGCACCCCCCATTTATTTCCGCTCCTCCTTATGTTCTGACTGGGGGAAGCTCTGCTCAGTTGGAACAACAATAGCAGTGTGAAGTTGTGAATCCGAAGAGACCTAGATACACTACCGGTCAATGGAAGCTCCTGGCTAGGGGTGGCAACGAGCCGAGCTCTTTAGGAGCTACTCGAACTCGGTTTGTGAGAAGCTTGGCTCGGTTGAGACGAGCTCGAGGCTAATAGAACTCGGCTCGTGAGCTCGCTTGGGGAAGATGAACAATGTTTTTCTCCCAGTTGTCCGAATAGTTATTACAAGGGTAGTACAGGGATTAAAAAATATTACAATAGCAAATTTCAACAGAAAACTAACGGAAGAGGGTCTTTGTCTCACGGTCATAGTACAAGGAGGGTCTTTATCGCAAAACAAAGTACATGGGGTCTTTGCCACAAACCCCAAGGGGTCTTCGTGATTTATCCAAAATAAAAATATCCTCTTTCCTCACTCCTATTATTATTGACAAAGGATTATATGCTTGATAAAACATAAACACAGACTCCCTTTAGCTCCCAGAGGCCAAGCCTTAGCCTATATCTCAATTCTCAATAAAAAGAGCATCTCATCTCGTGTCTCATGTTTATGGTTCTAAAAGACTGTCCATCATCATCATCATCATCATCATCATCATCATCATTATCATGCCATATCCATTATTAAATTATGAGTACCATCGCAAATCTCAATGTATGCATTTCTATCATATTCAATTTTACTTTTCAGATCAAATATATATAAGCATTCTAAAAATCATGGCTTTCAAAACTAGATCGGACCGAATGGTCAGACCGGGAAAACCAGGAATCAGTCATTCCCCAAAATCATATTTTCTCCAAAAACCGTTAATTTTGTTAAGCAAACCGTTGATCCAGGCGGTTAACTGTTTGAACGGTTTTGACCATTTTTTATTTTTTAATTTTTATTTTTTTTTGTTAGAACAGGCCGACTGTTCGACCTAGGAACCGAACCCCTCACTGGTTTGTTATCTGGGTCGGTTTTAAAAACCTTGCTAAAAATTGTGCAACTGCTAAGCGGAGCCAAAGAAACATTATTAAAATTTGGAAAAATTTCCAAATTAATACCTTGTACTTTGTGCGTAGTGCCACTTTGGTCTTCAAACTTTAAAGTGCGACAATTCAGTACCTGAACTTTTAAAATGTGACAATTCAATACCTGTCATTAATCAGTAGTTAAGTGACATTTGAAAAGGACACAAATGCCCTTTGAGTGTCATTTAATTTTCTTTATCAACCATCTAAACGTTGACAAAAAATTAACAGTCCCAAATCCTTGCTTCTTACATTCAAGAAAGTTGGGGTCAAGGTTTTAAAAACCGACCTAGAAATAGAATCATTGTAGCTACCGGTTTCCGAGTTAGCGACTGCTCGGGTCGAACGGTTTGCATATTACGGCAAATATTTATATGAGATTTGAGAAAGGAGAACTGGATAAGAGATGTTGTCGGTTGAGAGAGAAAAAGAAGGAAGAAAAGAAAGGAGAAAGGAAAAAAAGAAAAGAAGAGAAAGGAAAGGAAGGAGGGAAGAAGAAGAAGAAAGAGGAGGATGATTCGACGCTCACTGGTAATGATAATGGCAACGACGAGGCAGTGGCAACAGATGATCTCAGATCTCAAATCTAAGATCGATTTCTTTGCAACATCTGTAATCTTCTTCTTCTTCTTCTCTCTCTCTTTGTGCTGGATCTCAAATCTGAGTTCGTGTCTCAGGTTGGATCTCAGATCTTAGTTCATGTGTTTCTCTCCTCTGCAACTTTATACTGCGAACCATTGTCTAGGTCAAACGAGTAGACGGTTCGACTGTCCGGATCAGTTGCTTGAATTTTTGACCCATGAACGAGTTAAGGGTGAAACGGAACCAGTTGCTTGAATGGTTTCTAGGCCAAACGGTCCGACCGTACAAATCAATAACACAAGGATTTGGGACTATTAATTTTTAGTCAATGTTTAGATAATTGATAAAGAAAATTAGATAACACTCAAAGGACATTTGTGTCTTTTTACAATATCACTTAACGATTGATTAACAGCAGATATTGGATTATCATGTTTTAAAAGTTCGAATATTGAATTGTCATATTTTAAAATTCAGGACCAAAGTGGCACTAGACCCAAATTACAGGGTACTGAATTAAAAATTCGCGAATGCTGTGTGATGAAGAGCATGTAACTGTCATATTATGCTGGGATTATCTGTAAAACATATCGTCTTCGAGTCTACTGCGTGATTTTACTCACATTCACACAGGCCACAGCTATATCCTTCAGTTCACTCGTCCTCGTACAGGAAATCATGTAGCGAATTCCATTGCTAATTAGACAGAATAAAATATAATTAGAAAAAAAAGGGGAAAAGAACCAGTGAATGGTGTGGTGCTGTTAGATAGAAAAAATTACAAGGGAAAGTGCCAAAGTGGAAGAAAACAAGTGGGGAGTGACGACGCTGAGAGAGCCTGAGACGGGCAGGCTGGGAAACGGAAGACGGGTATCCCAACCCTAGAACTAGCTCTAGCAAGTAGCAGCGACGATCGCCAACTTTCTTGAACTGTACCGTTTACTGACACTGAAGGGAAGGATTTCGGTGCAATAAATTGCGGGCACTTTCAATATATATACCTATAACCTTACCATCCAAATGCTTTGATAGGTAGAAATACGTAAAATGTTGTCTTGCGTTAAAAATTAAATCGTCATACCATCATCACATATTATCGTCTCGACTCTTGATTTACGAAATATAAACCAGGTTGAAAGTTTAATTACTAAAAAAATGAAAAAGGGGGGTGAAAATATGCGATGCAAGTCAATATTCAAGAAAAAAAAAACTGCATCCAGCTTCCTTTAAGAGCAGTCTGAGAAGAGAAGCGGAAACTAAAATAAAATCCTCAACCTGCCGTCTGACATATACTCTCACTCATAAGAAAAACAAAGTCACTTCAGTTGAGACAACATTGTAATTTCTAACAAAAACTTCTGTAGCCTGTAGCTGTAGGGCACCTCTCCCAACACATTCTGAGGGCCATTCCAAAATGGAAGATTAATTATTAGACCTTTTTATCATAAAATACGCTACGCTTTTTTAACCCCTATGAGTCCCCATGAGGTCATGACTATTTCTTTTAGTCTAAACAATAGTAACATCATCAACTAATTCTCAACAACCTCGATGAGAGTTTGCTCGTAATCGCTTGGAGCCACGAACCCATGGAGATTCATCACTGTTGCAGCTACATTGGCGAGCCCACCATCAAGAACATCCTTGCGGAATCTGACCCCAGGCAGCAGTCCAGGACCACCAATCGCTATTGGTACCTGCACGTCATCATCATCCAAACACATTAACATACTGAAACTTCTTCAGTAACAATTGACCTCTCCTATGAATTAAACCCCAATAACTCAACTCATACACCATCTCACTTCTGTGAACAGTCTAATTAGTAGGACAATCATTGCACATAGACCACAATACCCAGCCAAATTTCAAAATAAATAACAAATCTTGACTCATCTCAACAGTTGCTGCTACAAGAAGAAAGATGAGTAGGTGCAGTTTCTGTGCTAAAGCCCAATCCACATAAAATACGGGAAAACCAAGCATAAGCAATACAATACAGTACTACTGATTAATAGGACAAGCCTCAATTCACACTAGCTTTATATGGGTGGGTATAGAGTGTCGCACACTAGCTTATATGGGTGAAATGCCAAGACAGATCAGAGTCAACTTACAGGTTGAAGAGTGTGAGAAGTGAGGATTTGAATCTTTCCACTCTTGTCAAGAAGAGGTTGCCCACGCTTGTCCCTTTTCACCATGTCCTCAGCATTCCCATGATCTGCTGTAACAACATAAATGCCACCCACTTGCTCTATCGCATCAAGGATCATCTGAAAACAAAGAGGTAGAGTTAAAATCAGTGAAAGTTGTTGGTGTGACCATAAGTGTAACAAATTATGAAAATACAACATTTGAAAGAGAGTGGCCCTTCGTATAATCGACTAGAAGCTTCAACAGTGGTCACAATATTAGTTTCTTCAATGTTAAAGAAGCAACAATATTGCAGTAGGACAAATCCATTTCCAAGTACCAATGCTCATTCTACTCTTTTTACATATTCTCTATTATAAACCCAATAAAAAAGCAGTAAAAAATGGAGCTCCCGCATCTCAGCACACCTCCATGCCCTCTCCCACTCTCGTAACAATCTAATAAAAAATAGTTATTGAATTGCTTAAATATATCAAATGATAAGAGTTTGGTCAATAAAAAGCATGACAAAGTTGATTGACCTTTTACTTATCAATGTGCACAGTATGTCCTACCTGCTAATAAAATACATTTTCTTATTTTAGACTAATTAAATACCTTGACAGCTTCATCAGCGGCTTTGCAAGCCACGACTGTTGCCTCAATGTCTCCAGTATGCCCCACCATGTCACCATTAGGTAGGTTTACACGTACCTAAACAAAAGGGAGAGGATAAGAACAAATACAATAATAAGTGATCTATTTGGCACAACTCCTCTCCCCCAATAGCATATGATGTGTTCAAAATTACCTGGTGGAACTTGCCACTAAGAATTGCATCCCTTGCCTTCTCAGCAATCTCCAATGCCTTCATTTTTGGTTGGACATTGAACGTAATTCCACTGTCACTGGGAATTTCCACATACTCCTCCATTTCTTCATTAAAATACCCAGATCGATTCCCATTCCAGAAAAAAGTGACATGACCAAATTTCACAGTCTCACTGTGTAACAGAAGATATAGTGGCATTAGACTAAAAATAACAAGTCAACAACATAGCAAGAGAGCGAGCGAGCGAGTGAGAGAGAGAGCGAGAGAGAGAGAGAGAGAGAGAGAGAGAGAGCGAGAGAGAGAGAGAGAGAGAGCGAGCGAGAGAGCGAGAGAGAGAGAGAGAGAAAGAGAGAGATATCCAATGTGTAAAAGGCATCAAGTAACCTCTACCCAAATCAGCCTGCTTTTTTTGTACCACCTAGGCCTAATGCTCCCTGGAACCTAAACCAAACAAATGAGAATTTCCTGGTCCATGGACGCATGACTTAGTAGTCTATGATGACTAATTCACTGAATAAAATAACAGAGTTTGTCAGAACTTCCCCAACTCATGGACCTTACAAGTCAAGTAGTGAACCAATTGCAAGCCCAAGAAGAAAGGTCCATGACAATCAAATCAACATAAACTCACACCTGGTTTCATCAAAATGAATTCTCTATTTTGTTTCTTTGTTTTTTTTTTCAGGATCATTCCACCCTGCACAACATGCATCAACCAGTCCTATACTCAATTAAATATCTTAAAAAGATTCGTCAGTTTTTTAACTGAAAATTTTAGTTTTTATAAGATCAACTATAAATAGTTTAATGCTGCATGTCTCTGAAGGGACATATAAACTTTTGCTGTTTGAATGAAAACACTCCCTCCATGAGTTTCTCTTTTGCTGTTTGATGCTTCCAGAAGGTGGACAATAAATACACCGACTTTGACCACGTGAACTGAAATATCCTATTCTTGTTATAGGTAAGAGCTTCTAATAAACTATTCTTTAACCCCTTCGTGGCTCCATTTTTTCTTCAATGATAGCTACCAGAAAATTTTCTTATTTTACCTGTTCAAAGAAAAAGAAAATTTATTTAATACCACAAAAGTCTTGTTGTACATGTTCAAGAGAACTAGACCACTCCTTTGGCTCAGTTCCTCTAACATCACATACAACCTAGTGCCCCATAGTAGACCAAGACCCTCACGGCCTCACCCACCCAAGTGAGCCTGTCATTCCTTTGTATCTTTCTCCAGTTAACACGTACATTCAGAACCCCCAAAACCAAAATTCTATAATAGTCCCTACCATTATTTTCTCTTGCTTCGATTTTAATTTTCCTCCTAGACCTCATCCACTGCACAGATTGACAGACACCTCCAGAACACCCAAAAGTGGATGGTAGCCCTGTGGTGGTAAGTTTTTTCTCACTTAGTTTCCATTGCAAAAATTAAGATAGTAAGCTCAAGAATAAAGAAAATATGGTTTCCGACAGCAGAACTGGAGAAAGTCAATCTAGTTAAAAGAACTACTCAAATTTTTATAGCTCCATACGTTTCCCTTGAGTTTATCATAAATTGGGTGGCCTTGGGTGGTCAGGCCATAATGAGTAGAATTGCAAGACAAGCTCTCATATCCAGATACAGGAAACAGGGTTACAACTTACAACTCTCTATTTCCTAAAACCCTGGATATGGATCGAGTAGGAGTATCCTATTGTTTATATAATGCTTTTATATATAGTCTTTAAAGCAAATTTCATTTTCTCGATACTAATGTCTTGAAAAATACCAGTTTATATGTTTCCTAAGTGTTAATTCTATCTAGAAATGTCTGTGCAGTATCCAATGTCATATCAGGTCAATATCGTGTCTCATACCGGTAGCCAGGCATGTACAAAATGGCCCCCACTTCAAGAAGCTAACTAAAGCATCTACTTACAAAATTCGATGAGACTATCACCTGAAAGTTTTTATTCTTGGAAATTATATTTGAATAAGAATCACTAAAAACTAAGTAGATAGAGATTTTAAAAAATAACATGGTTTCATCTCACCTGCATGCAAAAGTCCGGACACCATTGTGCACCAAATATTCACCAGAGGTCCTCTCTATCTCTGGAGGAGAGACAAGGTAATGGGATGGAAGTTTTAACTCGCCATCATATTGAAGCATTCCTGCATAGCGGATCTTTGGAAATCGAACACGATCAAATTTATCAAAGTTTTCATACTCAAGTGCCTTTGCAGGCATGACCATACGATCTGCACGGAAGTTAAATGTCACAACAGCATCACCATCCACAATTGGGCCCACAGCCTTCCCACTCTCGTCAACTATAACAAATGGAGGCAAGTATTGGTCATTGGCTTTGGGTTCCTCCCTCAACTTTTTGACAGCTTCCAAGGCACTTCTAAACTTGTGCGGTGCTTCACCAAGAACCTGAGCATCCCATCCTCTTTTCACCACACCCCAGTCATTCTGCAGAAAAGAAGCAACTAAAATTCTTTTGTTGACAAGCATGAATAATCAAGCTATGAATTTATACTGTGGTCATTCAACTGACCAACCCAGAACATCTAAAGCAGTAAATACCAAATAACAATATGATTAGTTGGTTTGACCATCCCATGAACTTTTATTATCTAGGATTACTTTCTCCACACTATTCCTGTTCTTAGAAAAATGTAACAAATTGGCAGGATATATCATCTATCCATGAAAAACAACATGCCCTCAACTGGAAGGACATCCAGGGTTTCTCCTGGATGATGTCAGTTTTTTAGATTCTCAAACAACATCAACAACTCAACATCAAATATACTAACCCACCTCATAACGATCCATTGTGACATACATGCGACCCCCACCAGAGGCAATCTTTGCATCAATGCCTTTCTCTCGTAACTGTGCAAGATCATTCTCAAGAATCTCAACAAAGCCTACACTTGAACCATCAAGAACATCACGACCATCAGTGAGAATATGAACACGGATTCTCTTTGCACCGTTTTCGCTGGATCCTTTTAGAAGCAACTGTACCAAAAAAATATGACAATTGTCATGGAAAGAGAACCTAGAACAGATGGCACCGACAAAGACTTCTACCACAAAACATACCTGCAGCTGATCAAGCCGGGAGTGGACACCCCCATCACTCAATAATCCGATGAGGTGCAATGTGCCAGATCCAAAACATTCCTTAATGTAATTAAAACCTTCTCCTTCATAGATTTTTCCTGAGGCAAGAGCAATGTCCACAAGTTTTGCACTGCATTCAGAATGAATTAAAAAATCAGTACTGGCAGTTCACTTGACAAATGATACCAATTCCAATAATATTTAAACCTACATGTGTCAGTATATGGGACCTATGTATCACATGGAGACTTCATAAAAAACAAATGGAAATATATCTAGACAAATATTTCATAAGTTAATAGTATGTTTCTAAATAACAATTTTATCAATTTATGTGTCTAAAACAATATAGTTTTTTTTTTCAAAAGGTAAACAATGAGTGTAATTAAGATGGTAAACAATTCAGGAGATTTAATGATGAAGCATTCTATGTAGTTGTTTGCTTGCTTTTCCCTTTTAATTAATAGTTATTGAGGCATCTAGGTGACAGTGGAGCACCTAGTCACAATTTTGCAAATAAAAAAAACATAAATTCTAGGTTTTTTGAAGGCAATTCTAGGTTAATTCCCCAATTTTACATACCGGTCAACATGTATAAATTGAAAAAAAAAATGGCAATGCTCTTTACTAATAACATTATATTTCTGCAAATTGCATCAGAAACAAAATATAGTTTAATTTTAACACTTCAAACACAACAGTACAAAATACTGAGTAATTAATACAGCAATCTTTTACCAATAACTGGAATTTTCATCAAGAGATTAAAAGAGAATTAGAAAGTGTACAGAAAACAATTGGATATAAAAACAGCTTATCTCCAATACCCTAGTGCTTTACAACTGAGCCCAAAACATTTATTTCCTCTTAACCCCTTTTTTCCATAAGAGTCGGCCATGTTGTTAGCCGTCCTTTGCAGCCATTGAATTTTAATATGCATGGCCCTGGTTACCTATTTAAACTTTTTGAACTCAATTCTGTATATCCACAAATCAAAGAGCCAGCAATTGCATGTCAAAAGATAAGCAAGGAGTCTAAGTTTTAAACTAGTATAAAAATTAAGAGAGTGTAACAAGTAGAGAAAAAGAACGAGGCAAAGCCGTTCCTCTATCTAATGAAAGAGAGAAAGAGAGATTGTAGAAAAAAGAAGATAAGTTTTATCATTCTCTTCTTAAATAATGTACATAACAATTTTTTCTGATAAGTGGTAATAACAACATAAAATATGATAGATTAACACAATAGTGAGAACAATGTAGATAATAATACATGTTTTACCTTCTACAAAAACTGCCTTGTAATTTTTGTCACCTAAAGCATGTGCCTTATTTCCTATGTGGATGCTTAGTCACATAGACAGGTCCCTTTTTTGTACAAGTAGCACTTGAAAATAAAGAGACAAATAGCTAACCTAGTTACCTAAGAAGAACAACCACATGTATCCAACCACCTCAACCGAGTTTCAGAAAACGGAATATCATAAGACAGGTGGGAAAAAAAAAAGATAAGATTGTTCAATTCTAGAAGTATCCATTCCTAATGATTTCACTATAAGAAATAGTAGCACAACAACAATTAGTCAAAATAGACTTGGTAAAAGGCAAGCACCCTCTGAAGACAGTTTCCAAATGCATATAGAAAGAATGATGCCATTTTCATGGGAAACGGGAAAGCTAGTCTTAAAGGTCATGATGCAAAGCCAACTGTTTTACCCAAACACAAAATGGACAAGGTGTCAGGCAGGGAATTTTACTAGAAATTGAATTTTTCCAATATAGACAAATGATTCATTTTAATGTATATTTGAAACAAAGACCAGTCCATATCATCCAAGTCACTCACGCAAACCTTCTGACATGCTGCATTCATTCGTTGAAAAGGGTTCTAATGCATGTTTTGGATGGTATAGATGCCAGAGAGACTGACCAAAATGATCAGCCCGGAATTTGAAACATACCTCAAGCAACTATAAAACATTGGTCATGAAACAGAACAATACCCAAAAGAAGCAAAAGGAAATAGAAAGAGGGCCTTTGGCACTAAAGCCATGGATGTTCTACTCTAAACTAAGATTTTAATTGGTTGAAACATTCTTTTTATAAATCACGTGATTTTTTATCAATTTTTTATAAATCACATGTTAACTCAACATTTCAAAAAAATAAAAACATAAGTATTCCATCTCAATTATCACCATTAGGCTACCTCTTCTAAAATCAGTGTTGTCTGACACTCTGACTCATTTGGTGACATGGGCAAATAAATATCATCAATGATGTATTTTATTTGTAAGTCAGCTTCAAAGTTAACTCCTTAACAATATCATATTAAAAACAATTCAAAGTAGAAAAATTTACCCTTGGGCATAAATCCGCCCAGCACCAAGTGCATTATGACCAACCTCACTGTTACCCATGTCATCCTCAGTTGGAAGCCCTACTGCTGTACCATGAGCCCTCACCAACCTCCATTTTTCCGGTGCACCCTTCAAAGAAGAAAAATGACTAATTATTCCATTGTCTGACTGGCAAAATGCACAAAACATTCTGAAATGGCAGAACCGATTTCAATAATCCTAGCTTAAAAATGACAAAAGACGATGTTTCTGAGATTTTTGTTGTTTTTTCTTTATATAGAAAGGAAGCATATATGGGGAATTATATTGTACTGCAAAAATAGCAATTTGCAATCATGGGATACAAGAATAACATAGGCAATCCACCTACGGGAAGATCAAATTCTATAATGATGGAAGGCACCTACCCAGTACTCAATGATAGTTTTTTTCCTCATAAACACTAAAACACATCCAGAAGAGAAAGGATGGCTGAAATATAAATTTTTATAACCGTGCAGCTCAAACAAACTTACAAAAAATTGATTAGACAATGAAAATCAGTAAAATGAACTATGCAAACCATCTAAAGTATGAAACGATTCCAAATTACTGAACAAATGTAAATAAGAATCACAGAATGTGAAAGCATAAGAGTGGAGAAGCCGATCAAGTACTGTATTAAATCAGAATTAAAAACGCATAAAATGCAACCCATTAACAACGATACGAAAAGGCGGAAAAAGAACAAAAGCCCAACAAGGAAGGAGATATTAAAAGCTACTGAAAGGAAAATCTTTTTTTTTTTCTTCTATTGTTTCTGGTTTTACCTTTTTGAGAGAATCCATTGTAGGGGTCTCAGCGACATGGATGCAGTTATACTTATCAGGATTGGCTTCACCCCATCCATCCAAGACGACCACGGCTACAGCCTTCCCCTTGGGGAGCTTCGGGTGATCCGCCAATTTCCATGAAAAATCAGAGCTACCCATCTCACTAACAAATCAAAAACCAAAAAATTCCAACTTCAGATTAAAAAAAAAAAAAAAAGAAACCTAGATCTTGGATGCAACCGAGATCACAATTCAACAAACTGAAATGAATCCGAAGACCAATCAACCAAAAAAGAAGAAAAGAAATCGCGCACCTTGTATGCCGGTAAGTGTGATTAAGCAAAGGGAGATTTGTTTTCGGGAGAGGAGAGCAAGAAAGAACGGTTTGGGAATTTGATGGGAGGAGATGTATATATAATTGTTGAGATTAGGGCAGTCAGAGAAAGAGAGAGGGAGAGAGTCCTAAAAGGTGGAGCGAAAACGATGGACGGGTGTATGATTCGGCCTCCAGTTTTTCTGTTCAGAAAATACACGTATTCATTTTACGAGGGAAGTGATTTGGGCACACCTCTTTCATCCTTCACGAAAACACCCTTATTGAAATGTTAAAAAGACCAAACATTGGCACCACAACGTAGATCTAATCATCTAACTTCTGTTTCAAGGTTTAAGGGTGATTGCGTTTGGACGCGGCATAGAACGTCATCGATTTAGTCACGTAGAACTTTGAGTGGACCGTTATAACGCCCACTAGGTACTCTTTAATATTGAACTTCATCAAAACTTTTGAGTGGGAATTGAGTCCGTCCTACCTAACTTAGTCCAAAACCATTTAATGGACTGTTTTGATCCAAGAAATAAATACAATATTTTATCTCTATCTTTCTTCTATGAATTAGGGAAAATCAAATTGAAAGATTTTATACTATACTAGTAATTTGTTGTATGTAACAATTTTATATAACAATAACAACAATAAAAAAAATAACTTTTATCGAAATCCATGAAACAAAGATGAATAACTAAAGCAAGGTGTCTAGGAGATATTAAATTTGTATTATATTTTTCCCACTAATAACAATACTTTTTATTTCATGCTTATTTTTATTAATATTAGAGGTGTTCACAGAAAACTACAAATTCTGTATTTTTTATAATTTTTATCTTTATTTTTATTATTTAATTATAACACCCTAACATTACTCATATAAAAAAATATTGTTCAACACTTAACTTTGTTTAATATGATAAATGTATAATATTAGAGATTTATCTTTTATATAAATCCCTATATTCTATCTATTTTTATATTTTATTATTTAATTATGACATCATGGGTTAACCAATTTGACCTAAAAGGTTGAACTAGTGACCCACCATTCTAACAAAAAAGAATTTCATTTTTAATTGACTTTAATTTTTGTATTTAATTTCTATCATTATTAAAACACTTCTTGCTTATCATGCTTATTTTTATTTAATATGATGAATATATAATATTAGAGATGTATCCAAAATTTCCAATGAAACTTTTTGTGTTTTTTTGAAACTCTTATATGTTTATATATTCTTAATTTTTATTATTTAATTATGACATTATGAGTTAACCCATTTAATGTGGATGGTTGGACTGCTTACCTACCATTCATTTTCAAGTCAGTTCTAGGGGTGTCCACGATTCAATTAACCGAACCATGGGCATATTTTGCAAACTGAACCGGTGGTACCCATTTTTCCATTTCTCCAAACTAAAACTGAACCAGTACCACTGGTTAATCGGTCTGCCGGTTTTGGTTTTTGATCGGTTCGGTTCTTCGGTTTTATATATATATTATACAAATATATGTATGATATTATATTATAAATTATAAATGATATATAATATATTATAAATATTTTAAAAATATATAATATATTTATAAATAGATTATTATAAATATAATATAAGTATATATTTATATATAATGAATATATATTTATATATAATATATAGAAAATATGTGACATATATTAAAAATATATATAAAATATACACATAAATATATATACCAGTCGGCTCAGTTAACCGCCGATTTTTTGTAGGTTAACTGAAAAGCGAACCGGTCCTTCGGTCTTTCAAAAATTCCAAACCGAAATTGAACTGATCGGTTTGATTAACCGCATTTTGTGGTTCATTTTTCTCGGTTCGGTTTGGTTTTTTGGTTTTTCATGGACACCCCTAGTCAGTTCTAAAACATGAGTTTTATATTGTTAAGTTATTGGATATGAATTTAATTAGTAGAATTTGTTGGTAAAAACTAAAAATACTTGAAGTATAGGATTTAATGAGAGAGAATCTGAATTAACAATTAAAATATAAGATTTAATGAATGGGAATGGAATGAAGTGAAAAGTAATAGTTCAAATTAGATTTTATGACATGGTAGTTATAGAGAGACCAAATTCAAAATCGTGGGTGTTTTAGTTAAGGATTTAATGAGAACAAATGGGAGTTAACCCCTTAAGGAGAGGGTGTTAAACAAAAGTAGTAGTTTGAGTTATGATTTATACCCTTACAATTAAAGAGGGACTAAATTCAGAACCAAAGGTATCTTAGTTATGGAAAAACAACAATGATCATTTATTTAACATACCTTGGATTCTAAGAAAATTGGAGTAAAGAGTTATTTGTGCTATAGGCTGCCATTGGAAACAATGCAAAAAAGAGTGTAAATGCAAACATTCGGAGTGCATTATGGTCCATACAAATGCAAAGTTGGGTTTGTTTTGCATTGACACTTACAATATGACTTTTAGTTGTAATGGATGCAAACATGAATCCCGATATAGAAATATACTTTTTCTAACATTAACCACTATATATGAATGCATTTTTACTTCTTTTTTTAAATTTAAAGTTACTTCTCATTTTAGGTGTAAACAGGGATTGGAAATTGGGTTTTAAGTCATTATCAATACACAAATGCTTTCTTGCCAAACATCAACAAAATTGAACTAGAATGCATATTTACACTGAATCGGCATTTACACCCTATTTGTACCATTTCCAAATGCAGCCATAGGGAATTTAGAATCATACCCTTTTCAGCTTAGACACTTTGATAAGAACCCACTAGACGACCTGCTCTAGGAACTCTTGATTCAATTTGTTATGCGCACCCAGAAGCTAGAAAACAAGTTGTAGTTGATCAGATTAAAACCTTAAGGAAACTAAGTCCTCAAAGAATCCAATCTTGAAGGCGCCACAAAGGTTGATCACTCCCTTGAAAAGTCAAGATATTGTATTCCATCAAGAACACAAGAAGGCAAAGCTAAGCTTGCTGAAAATACCTCTCTATTATTGATGATCTCGTTTTACATAGTTGTAGCCTTTATATAGGCATGTAAACATCATTATCTTATAAGGAAACTCCTAATCTAATCATGTAAACATCATTATTTTATGAGGAAACTCCTAACTAATGAGAATCCCTTTAATTTAGGAAAACAAATCTGCCTTGATATAAGAAACATTCTAAAAGACTATAACTAATGACAACTAAGCATAGAAAAGTCAAAGTAAAACAAAACAAAACAAAACAAAAACAAGCTCAACAAGACAAACAAGCCCATCAATACATCTTAGCATGCGGATTGGGCCTTTCCTTATCATGTCCATGCGCCTTGGTCTTATGTCATGGATTCCAAGCTTTGTTCTTCCAAATCTAAGCCTTGTACATCGTCTTGCACATAAAGATAAATGATTATCCTTGGTGAAGCTTTGGCAACTTTTAGAACAGTCTTAGAATCTTCTAGAACAATATCTTTGTCATGCACTTCCATGATTAAGCCTTGTAAAGCCTCTTTCATCATCTTTGTCCTTGCCCTAGTCATTGGACCACCGATTCCTTGCAAAGGATCTTGAGAATATTTGGGAATATTAGCTTAAGCCATTTGGCCAGCACCTCGATCTCCATTACACTTCGACCGTTATCAAACAACACCTTATAATGGATGGTTTGTACTAAGATTTCTTCATTTTAGACTATGGTTTAAATCATTGAAACTCCTACTTAGTTTATGAGAGTAAGGTTACAATCATGTCAAAAATGCGTTTCTAGAATTTTCAAAAATGTTTTTCAAACCACATTTGCACCAACCCTTAAAATTGGTGTTAATATGAATGGTGCAAATTGATGGTGCACGATCTAGATACTCCTAACTGGAAGATGATCCGAACTCCAGTTGTGCGGTGAGTTGGACCAAGCTACAAAATAGTAGATCAAAGAACCCGGGGTGGCTAACCTGACGAGGTCGCTCTGATGCTTAAGTCAGTACTATACCATGGATGCGAGTTAAATACTTGAGTGCTTGAATGCTAGTGAGTAAGTAATCACGTGTACCTTTGCCTTGGGGTTTCATGTCCTTATATAATGGAGTAGTCATGGGCCTTATGAAAGAGCTTTGGGATCTTCGGGCTATGCGGATAAGATCTGTTCCATTTTTGAAGGAGATCGATGTGTTGATAAGGTTTATCGTTTACCTTCGACTCAGGCGGAGGTAGGATGAGTCTCGTCGTGATCCGAGAAATTCGGGGTCCGTTGGGCCTTTGGAGTCGATTACATGGCGTTTCAGTTCTTTAACTCCGAACTGGTACTTCGATTTTTTAGTCTCGCATTGGATTGGATGTCAAGGTGTCTCTATGCCGAGGAGGTTGAATATCCGAGCTCCGAATGTTGCGGGCTGGTTCGTTTGGCTGATTTGTCACCCTTCGAGCAGATCGCGTCTACGTGTCCCCTTCTTACTAGGTCATGCCAAATCACCCTTCATCACAAAGACTAAATACATATTTCAATACTACCATGCATTGGATTATACAACTAATATGACCAATTGTTGGTGGCTCAATTGGTAGGATCATTGTAACGAAGAGTTAGGATCAAATTCTTGTTGTTATTAGGGATGGCAATCTTCCCCGTCCCCGATGAGGTCGGGGTCAAGGATGGGGCTAACACTGAATCCCCAATCGGGGATGGGGAATGCAATCCCCACCTCGCCCCATATATATATATATATTATAATATTATAATATTATATATATATTATAATATTATAATATTATATATTACATATATAATATTATATATTATTTGATTAACAAACAACAATTTCAATTAACAATTAATTAAACATTACACAAATTACAAAAACTCAAAAAGAGTAAAAAAGTAAAAGACTAAAAAGACAAAAACTTAAAACTCTCGAGAGACTCTCTTCTACTACCATTTGACAAACAAAGAAGAAAGAACAGAGGTGGCAACTGAAAGCCTAAAACTCAAAACCCTAGTACCCTATTCTTCTTCCGTTGATCAGTTCTTCCTTCTTTGTCTATCGTCGTCGACCGTCGTCGCCAATTGGCACTCTCTCTCTCTCTATGCTTTCGATTTCTGATTTTTGAAATCTCAAACAGAGTACAGATCTAAATCTATTCACAAGTCGCAAGTAT